TATGTGAGCTGTACTACATTTTACTTTTGAATCCATAACATCTGGATCTGTGTTTAGCAACTCTCCCACTCCATTCTACCACGGAAGTTACCTCAGCCGGTGCAACCATCCAGATAGAAAAAAGTGCACGTATGGGGGCCCCTTTTCCCTGTCCCTCCCTGCCCCTTCAGGCCTAGCCTTCCATTTTCACTTCACTGCTCACCTGCCCTATGATCTGTTTTCCCTTCAATTGTTCTGCTGATACTAATTTCCTTTCTTTGTGTTGTAGTTATTTAGGTCTCCTCAAGGTCAGTGTCTATGAATCTTTCATCTTTGTAACTTCTATTGCCTTAATAAAGTGCTCTGCTCACCATAGATGCTCAGGTGTTAATAACATAGTGTATTACTTTTTTCTAGGACCATTTGTAATTCTTTACTGATATTTTGTTTTTAGTATATACTGTGGGAAGATCTACCTTGGCATAAATTGCTGCCTTATTAGTAGCAAACTTCTTTAGCATTAATGAAAATTAGCTTGGCAGTTTGTTTACTAATGTTGATCATTATGTTTCCAACCTAATTATATTATTGTTCACTTAACAGCACTTCAGCTGTCAAAAGTTGTCATTTGGTCTATAAGCTGACTAATTTTTTCCCTATGTTTAATATTGAGCCTAGTTGATTTTTTAAAATGCCTTTCATCTTCTCTCCCTCCCTCCCTCTGTCTCTTTCCTTCTCTCCCCACTCTCCTTTTAAATAGTCGTAACAGATACACTTAGACGAATCCAGTTTTTAGCCTAACCATAATACAGAGGTCACTTTGCTTTCTTATAAATTTGAAGTTGAAATTGAATAGTTATGATGTGCCAAGTATTTGAAATTCATTAGCTTTTATTTTCACAGCAGTCCCATAAGGAGTTATTTGTGATTGACCTATCAGGAGGGCTGTCCAAGAAACTGTAATAAACTTCTAAAAATTAACACTCTCATCCAAAGACTCACTGGGTCAAGCAGACAAAATTACTCCAGGTCTTGTAGAATTTGACTGTAACTTGGTTGTCTGTGGTTAATACTGCTGGAGAAAGATTGTATCAAAAAGAGAGATTTTGCAACAATGCATAACATCAACAACAGAGAGGCAAATTTTGAACTTGAATACTTTTCTGTAGAGAAGGAGCCTTGTAGGCACCATCCTAGCTCTGTGTCAGCATCAAATTCGGACCAGATCAGACTGCTGCCCTCATACAGTCACCACGTACTTTCAAAGCAAATCTATTGAAGTACCACCTTAGTATTTCTAGAGACACATAATGATTTATTCATTCTTAGACCTGAAACAGAATGATAATCAAAAAATAGTTAAGTAAACCTTAAATAAATATGTATTCTAATTGAGAGTTCTTATACAGTTCTGCTTTGTCTCTTAAGACCAAAAAAGTCTTTGTTGTATGTGCATCTCAAAGGTCACTAACTTCTTCTAGGTGCAGCATTCTTAACCATTTAACCCAGGTGTTTGGAGCAGAGTGACCGTCACAGTGTTTTGTTACTTCTCTCACAGCCCCACACATGTCACTGTCAGCTCCGCATTTCTGAGCTGGGCACTCCGATACTTACTGAGTCAGTTGCCAAGGCTAACTGCTTAGCCAGAATAACTTTGGAAACTCCTCTTTACTACTTACTTTAATATTTATGGTATCCATCTAGCACAGTTCTGATTGGTGCTGCTCTGAATTGTGCATTATCTCCAAGGAGTCTTCAAAAAGGTTCATGTAAAACATGTATTATGAAAAAAAAAACTATCCATTGATTTCCAAAAATTTGTACCAAAATAAACTCATACTAACTTGTTGTAACATATCTGGATAGGATCTCCTTTGAGGCATGAAGAAGCCTAAAACATTAGTTTGAAAACAGCACCTTTCAGAGCAACATTAATTCTGCTAAAACTGGAGCAAGAACATCAAAATTTATGAGGAAATTTAGGTGGAAAGATATGAAAACACTGATGCTTTATGGGAATTTTATAGGAACAATGCCTCCAAAGATATCAGCAGTTTACGGATGGATAGCTCATTTTAAGAAGGGATGAGACAATATTGAAGACAAAGCCTGCAGTGGTATACCATTGACATCAACTTACAAGGAAAAAATTAATCTTGTTCATGCCTTAATTGAAGAAGACCATTGATTAACAGCAAAATCAATATTCAACACCATAGACAACTCCACTGGTTCAGCTTACACAATTCTGATGGAAGAATTAATGTGGAGCAAACTTTCCGCTCAGTGGGTATCCATATGGTTATACCCAGATCAGCTGCAAAAAAAAAAAAAAAAAACACCTGAGATTTCAGTGGAGATTGTAAATGAGTGGCATAAGGATCCTAAAACATTTCTCAGAAGAACTGTTAAGTGGAGATGAAATATGGCCTTAGGTATGTGATTCTGAAGACAAAGTACTAAGTAATGTCTGCCCAAGAGGTAGAAGTGGTCCAGTTAAGCCAAAGGCAGACCACTTGAGGATTAAGGTCATGACTTGGGGTGCTCCTTGCTTGTTGACTTTCTGGAGGGCCAGATAGTAATAGCATTTGCATTCTGTGAGGGTGTTTGCAGAAAGTGAGCCAAAGCTTTAGCAGAAAAATGCCACAGAAAGCTTCACTCATCCTTCTCATCAAACCAGGGCAGTTTTGTAATTTTCCATGGGAAATCATTAGACATCTGCTTTAGAGTCCTGATTTGGCCCTTTCTGACTCAATTCCTAATCTTAAAAAAATCTTTAACGGGCATCCATATATTTTTCTTCAGTTAATAATGTAAAAAAGACTGCATTGGCATTAACTTCCCAAGGCCCTCAGTTCCTTAGGGATAGCTAAGTATCATCACTTCCAAAAGTGTATTGAACCTGATGGAGCCTATGTTCAGGATTAATGTTTACATTTCTTGTTATTATCTTTTTTTATTTTTTTATTTTTTGACAGACAGAGTGGATAGTGAGAGAGAGAGAGAGACAGAGAGAAAGGTCTTCCTTTTGCCATTGGTTCACCCTCCAATGGCCGCCGCGGCTGGCGTGCTGCAGCTGGCGCACCACGCTGATCCAATGGCAGGAGCCAGGTGCTTCTTCTGGTCTCCCATGTGGGTGCAGGGCCCAAGCACTTGGGCCATCCTCCACTGCCTTCCCGGGCCACAGCAGAGAGCTGGCCTGGAAGGGGGGCAACTGGGACAGAATCCGGCGCCCCGACCGAGGCTAGAACCCGGTGTGCCGGCGCCGCTAGGTGTAGGGTTAGCCTATTGAGCCGCAGCGCCGGCCGTTATTATCTTTTAATTCCATTTTCCCATGAACTATTTGAAGTCCCCTAATGTAGCAGAATTTTAATCCAGACCTGTTAACTGTTATGAACTAGCAGGTTTTTAGAACTGCTTCTCCCTGTAATTTGTGAAAGGGAGTTTTTCTGATACAAATTACGTTAATACAGCTTTTTAGACCAGGCAAAACCTGTATGAGCTCTCAAGGAATGAAAACATGCTGGGAAAGAGACAGGAGTTGTCCATGCTGCCACCCACCTCTTTGGTAAGTGGTAGATGGCAGCTGTTGTTTTAATAATTTGAGCATATTCTAAAAGCACAATTTTTAAAAATCTTTTATACATCCTTCTTTTGGCATTAAAAAGAATGGCTTGGGATTTTTGTTAATACAAGAAAATCCTCAGGACCCGAAGGTAAAGTGGAGAACTTGTAACAGGAAATACAACATCTTTTACCCTTTTGTGAAAAGAGGATTTTTTTGATTCTGTCATTCTGGTGCTTAAAACTTTAAACTCAGCTTTAAAGAGAAAATGAAAATATGAGTGGTTGAAAAAGAAAAGTACCTCTTGCTGGCACATGCAAAGGGGAAAGCCAGAGAGCTCTTGGTACCAACCGCACGTCCTTACCTAGGAGTTCACTTTCTAGAGCTTTTTCCTGTATAAATCCTGGAGGATTTTTATATTTTGCCTAAAATAAGGTAGGCTTTTATTAGGTGACAAGTGTAGCTCCTTGTTAAATGAATAAAATGAGAATATTTGGTCTATGACTTTTAAGGTCACATAAGCAAGTCTATAAAGGCACTCATGTATATGGTTAAAAGAGTACATTCTTGGGACTCTACATAATACATCTGTAACACATATGTTGTTTATGTATTATGTCTGAAAATAGCATATGTCTGTATAATTTATTTTAGCATTAATTTACTGTAAAATCTTAGCAAACAGTTTTTTTCCCTTTTTCTTCCTGTGTAATACAGTTTCTAAGTGCTTTACATAGACAAATAAACTATTCCAAATTCCCAAAACAGCTCTAGAAACTAAAAGCACTTTTCATAAATTTTCCTGAACTCACTTAGTGATTAAACATGCCATGAATTAATTTGAGGCTGTTTATAGTCTTTATTCTATTTAATCTGAATATTCAATTGACAAAACATCTGGCTTTGTGGAATACTGATTTATTTTGTGGATTTTCAAAATAATATCCCTTATTTATATTTTGAGAAGAAAAATTGTAGAGATTAGAAGAAGTGTTTAGATTTTTATTGTTATTTTAAGGAAAATTATTTGTTTGCCTTCTGACATTTGTCCTGAGTCTAAAAAAAAGAAAATCCACATACTTTTCAGATTCACTGAAGTGACCAAAATAAATTTTGAATGTGGTTAATGTTGTGTACACTTAAGATAGGAAGAACCTAATTTGATTTTCAATAGAAAAGTATCTCTGTGTTATTTTTTTATGGAGTATGCATCTTTGTTTTCTTTTACTAGAAACTTTGAAATTCCCGATCTTAGCTTTGAAAGGTATTCAAGAAAGCTGCTCAGTTGGATGCATCCCCAGCCATTTTCAGTGTTAACCTCTGTGCCAAGCAGAAAGAGTCCTAGGAACTTACCTTTCAGTTATCCCTTTGGAAATCTTGTTTTTAATAGCGTTTTTTTTTCTCGGCTTGCATGACATTTTATCTTTCTTTTCCTTTCTTTTTGCTGTTTGCAAAGACTCTTGGGAGGATTTGACAGATTTGGTGGAGCAAATGCGCGATGATACAGAAGGTGCGTGCCACACCAGCATCTTTCAGCTTTTTTTTTCCTTTCTTTTTAATTTTCTGACCACCTTTAATTGTTTTCCATAAGAGGGAGTGTCAGCTTTAGGTTTTATTTCCCATGGCAAAAGTGGAAATCTTTATTCTTGTGGTCCTAAGTAAAATAGCATTAATACATGTTTTCACTGCTCTTTTAAGATATTTGTTAAATAATGTGTTTAAAAGGGACATTATTTAAAGATTTCGTCGTTTTTCTGTGGCCGTTTTTTCATTCGTTTGTTGGGAAAGTGTAAATGTTATCACTCATGTCAAAATACACGTGTTTTATTTCTGTGATTTTCATAGCAGTCAGAAACAGATCCCAGCCATCGTTTAGCCTTTGGTCTGTAGTGTTGCTCTAAATTGTAGGTTTTCATTTCATGTTAAACACCTTCAGCTTTGTCATGTATTAATATTCCTTTCTGGTGGAATTGCTTTGAAAAGTACCTCACGCGTGTGTTCCAATGTATGTGGGTTACCCAAACCAGTCATTTTCCCTTCTGTAATTTTAGCACCTAACTGGGGTGATTTACATACTTATAGTAAAAATAGATGTTAGAGGTTTGACTCCACTTTGCATTCTTCCACCTTGTCCTGGCATCTAGAGGTATCTCTGAGTGTGCTCCTCTAGCTCACACACATCCACTGGTCTGCTTAGCGCCTTTGCGCTGGCCTCTCTGCCTGTGCTGCCATATGCTCTCCTGCTTTTCTTACTATGACATCACATGTGGAGTGTTTACCACCCCCTCCCTCTGCCTGTGCCACCTGTCCAGCCCGTTGGTCTAGACAGGGGCTTCACAAAATACCTCTGACATTTGGCCCATACTCATTTCGCCATTCGCATAACTCCTGCACAACTTGGAGCTTAAGGCTTTTTACTTGTTCTTTAATTGTCATGTGTTTATCCACCCTAGTTATAGTTTAAGTTCCTTGAGAGCAGAGATTGTCTTAAACTTCTTAGTGTCTTTATCAGACCTGGGACAGTGCTCTCCTCAGTAGATCTGGTCCCACCAAACAAAACCAAGGCACATTTCTCTCTCCAGTAATGCCTGTGACAGTATCTTCTTCAGTGCTTCCCTTTGAATGAATAATTTAGGATCCTGAGTCTCATCTCTCTTCCTGTGGTCAGACTATTTTTCAATGCCATCTTTGTTTCTAATATGACTGATTACATATAATTTAATGAAAAAATAAATGTGTATTGTCTAGCAAGTTCTTGTTCACAGACAAGAAAAAAGGAGGTCTATTTTTTCAGTGAATAATGTTTACAGTTATGTTAACTATTGTGATTATGATTATGATTATTTACCAGTCACAATCAGGTTTTAGGTTTTTATTACTTTCATAGACTATATAACAAAGAAAAAACCTACATAAAATCTTTGACCTTCTTAAGGACTTGTTCCCTGAAACTCAGGGAAAATTCAATTTCTGTAATCAAAACTACTACAAGAATTAAGTGTACTATGAGAGGATGTGCCTCCTTTTTTTTATTTTGTTTTTTTTCTGGAGTCTTTAATGGGTGATTATAGGTGAAATCTGAAAGAAAACAAGATTAACTTTAAAAGTATAATACATAAAATACCCAGAAGATGTGAATTGTGGCAGTACTTCAATGATCTTAATAAATTACCAGATAAATGCTGTATGGTAAATCTAGTCACGGTCCTATTTGCTGAAGAATCTTTTGGGAGACTGGCTTTTTAAAAAGCAGTATGGAAAGAAGGGGGTGTCTTTACTTGTTAGCTTTTTTGTGTCATTTCATTTTTTTAAATATCATTTTCTACTTCTCTTACCTTGTGGCTTAACCACAAGTATGTGAAATATCATAACTGAAGTGTATTACATAACTTGGAGGCTTTGAAACTGGGTACCAGGAGCAAGAAGAAATGTGAGTTGTGGAATGTTACCCACACGTAACACATAGAGCAGTTTGGGGCCCGGGGAGAATCATGGTTTCACATCTGATGATGTAAAAAGCTAGTGATGTAGGTAGGCTCAGATTTTTTTTCAGAATACCTTCCTTGCTGAGCTGTTCCAGTTCTGTTTCTGAGCTGTGATGATGGATGTGACATTTCAGTTGGCTTTTTAATAAATGTGTTAACATTGACTTCTGACCTCTAAGAAAATTTACTTTTAAGAGCAACAAACTCTAGTAGATTGCAGTTTTGTACAGGTAGTTTCTTTTATTTATTGTTTAATTTTTGCAAGATTGAGACTTAATTACAGTGATGATTGGTGTCACACTTAGTATGTCTATGACTTATGTCCAGTAGACTATGAAATATCTCCTTAGGGTCAAATTGTATTTTACTTACATCATTGATATCTTTTTGAATTTTTATTTATTCATATTTTATTTGTTTGAAAGGCAGAGAGACAGATATTTCTCATCTGCTACTTCATTCCCCAAGTATTGACAGCATCCAAGGCTGGGCCAGGCCAAAGCCTGGAGCCAAGAACTCAGTCTAAGTCTCCCAAGTGAGTTTCAAGGACCCAACTACTTGAGCCATCACCTGATGCCTTCCAGAGTGCACATTAGCAGGAGGCTGGATTAACCCTGGCACTCTGATACAGGCTATAGCATCCCAAGTGACATCTACGTGCCTGCCCTGATTATCTTGCATTAGCCCAGTATGTGCTAGTAATGTGTGTCTATAAAAGTTTTGAAACTCACCAGGAAAATTACAAAGATTAAATTAAGTAATAGCACATGATTTGCTACCTTTGGTTTCTCAATAAATACTGAATTTCCACCTGACTCATTACTAGCCTGTTCAGCAGATTTTGTGAATGTGCAGTTGTCCATATAACTTCCCACCTCCTGGGAATTGAAATGGTCAGGACACTACTGGAATTTGTGTGAGATATTTCCTGGCTGAGAATGGTTACTGTGTTTTTGGCATTGCTTTTATTTAAAACTTTATTCTACCATGTTGAAAAACAGAAGAAACTATCTAAGAGACTTTCTTAGCTTCTAACACTGTGCCACTCCACTTAGTCATTCACTGAAGGTTTATTAAAATATTTTTGGAAGATCATAATAATTACAGCTAACAATTTTTTGTTCTTAGTATGTCCTAAGCAAGTCTCGATACATAACATATATGAACTTGTTTAACCTTTAAAATCCTCATCATTTTATGGATGGGATGGTAAAGCTAACAGAGGTAAAGAACTTTCCCAGTGGTATACAAGTACTACTCACAATAAAAAGGAACAAACTGTTGATACGTGCAGCAGTCTGGGTGAATCTCCAGAGAATTAGGTTGAGTGGAAAAAATGTACTTAAAATGTTACATACTATAGGTCTCATTCCTATAACATCCTTGAAGTGGCAGAGCTGTAGAAACAAAGAGCAGGTTATGGGTGCTGGTTCAGGTTCTAGCTGCGTCACTTCCAGTCTAGATCCCTGCTACACACTAGGGAGACCTGGATGGAGCTCCTGGCTCCTGGGTTCATTCAGGCCCAGCCCTGGCCATTGTGGCCATTTGGGGAGCAAACCAGTGATGAAAGATCTGTCTCTCGTCTCCCCCTCTCTTTGCAACTCTGCCTTTTGAATGAATCTATAAAATCTTTTTAAGAAATCCTTTAAAGAGGGGGAGGGGTCAATAAGAGGGATCCTTGTGATGCAAGTGCTCTGCTTTTTGACTGTCATTCAGTTATCTGTATATAATGTTTGTGATCATATACTACATATAGTGTGAAAGGTACTTCCTATGGAGGAGCTAGGTTAAATGTATGTGGTATATATCTGTATTATTTCTCAGTTATCTCAAGATACATATACAACAAGTGAAATAAGATAAATTTTCCCAAGGCTACATGATATGGAAGAATTTGAGTAGAGTTCAGACCCCCACAGACTAGCTTTAGAGCTTGTTCTTAGCTGTTACACCAAAATTCTTCAAACTTTCACCCAACTTTGACAGGCTAACTTATTAGCTTGTAAGTAGGGTAAACCTCAGACCTGATTTAAAAAAAAAAAAAAAAAAAAACAGCAACACTTCTATCTTTAATTTAACTCTCTGGAATATTGTGCCCCAGCATGTTTGTGCTCCAAATGAGAGAACACCAAAAGTAAATACAGACAAAAACATGATAAATCCCCACATCCTACAGGACTTGAGGCAAACCCCATATGTTGCAAAATTCAGAAAACAGAGGAAAGTATTCCAGGTAACCAAAGAACCACTGTAAAAATGTATTTTCATCAGAATTCAGAACACACATCATTTATTTGTTCATATCTAAAATACATGTTTTATGTATGAAACAATACATAACCTTACCATGTAGAACAACACATCAAATCAACTGTATGACCCACTTAAGGGGTCCTAACATTCAGTTGAAGACACTGCAGAGGCAGGCATTTAGCCTAGTGGTTAAAATGCCAGTTCTGACACCCATGTCCCACATCAGAGTACATGGGTTTGATTCCTGGCTCTGGCTCTTAACTCCTGCTTCCTGTTCATGGAAGGCAACAGGGATGGCTCAAGTGATTGAGTCCACTTCTTGCAAGGCCAGGATTGAGTTCCTAGGTCCCCACTTTGGCCTGATCCAGCCAAGTCTTCATGGGTATTTGGGGAATGAACCAGCAAACAGAACATGTTCTTTCTCTTCCCCCCAAATAAATTAATTAGGTGATTTATTAAAACACATAAAAGACTGCATTATCCTGTGCTGCCTCTCTAGCTTATATACACTTGAGCCCTAGCCATTCTCTAAGTATTTAAAAAAAAAATCTTTTCCTGCAGTCACGGTCTTGGCTCTCTGTTTCCAGCCTATAATGGTTGACACACATGGGCCAGTCACATTGCATCCTTCTGGTTTTCATTAAATCATATCTGGTTAAGGCATCATTTTTAACTTAATCCTTTAGTTTTTGAGGTAACGTTTTAATTTACAATATAATCAAAGGCTTAATGGCTCTACTGAATAAAGAGTTCAACAAATAGAGTAAAAATA